CCTAACTAGGCCGTTTTCAAACCTGACAGCGCCACATATGGTATACGAGGGGGCACAAATTTATCCCGGGGGATATCTCATGTGCCATTATATCGTGAATCGTGCCTTCAAGCAAGATTATGGAGGTAGTACGGAAGGCGCATTTGGACGACGTTTCAGCAGCGTGTAATTGCGTAAGGAGCTGACTACAGTAAATGCCTGCAACTGCTCTCCACCGTCACCATTGGATTGAAGCCCAGCTGTTAATTTTCAATATACTCCGTGCACCATTCGCAACGGAGGACATATGATGAAACGGCTACTTCTGGGTACAGTATTTAGCAGAAACGAGCTTTAGGCGTTCGCTACCTATTGTTATCCAATCCAGCAAAGGCCCTTAAGCCCTCATCAAGGGGACAATTGTCGGATTGAAAGTGTGGGGTAGATTCGTCTATCCACTGAATCTCAAAACCATTTTCATAATGGGCCGTGCCTTTCTATCTGCTACTTCTGCTATCATTAGAATATCGCTGCCTTGTATTGTTCAGCATTGAATGTTGTTCTAATGGCTCCCTGTCTTGATCTGATTCTTGTATATTCACTCATACTGCTTCAATGATGGCGGATTTTATTGAGAAGTATAACTCGTTGTTAAATGTTTGGACACAAAAATAAGCGAATGTTACTATATTTACAGCATGGCGGTAGTCAACAATCCGAAGGAGGTACTCGCCATGTTGGACTGCATCGACTCAATGGTTGATGTGCTGGCGTATCTTCACGAATCACGACGAAAGCGTCGCACATACGTCCGTCCAGAGCATGTACCCTTCCTGGAAACGCGATTCCGCGACTTCGATGAGTATCTCTCCTCGCAAACGCCTGAGGCGTTTCTCGAGTACACAAGGCTGACGCCTGAAGAATTTGAGGGCTTGTTTGAACATATCGGCGGTCGGCTTCATCATGCTTCTACTCATGCTGCTCCCATTGGTGCTCGACAACGAATGTGTGTGTATTTGAGGTGTGTTTATTCCCTGAGTGTGTTCAAAGTTGAAATCAGAACTAAATTTATTTTCAAGGTGGGAGGGAGTAGAACTTTGGCTTGAAGTTGCTATTATAAACCAATGTCTGCGGGTGGAAAGTCTGGTTTGCAAACTCCTTTTGGGTTTCAGGAAATTTTCTTGGTTAGAAAGGCCATAGAGAGACCCATAATCTTACGGTAGAGTAGAACTCAGAATTTTTCATGAAAACTATCGACCCACCCTCCGAGGCGCACCATTTTTCTAATCGATCAGGACCACCAATCAGAAGCTTTTTTTTGATGTGCGGGGACGATTTGAATGTGTGTTCATGCCCATTTTAGATTTCTGAGAGAGAAGGAGTTTTCCAATGTATAAAAAAGTAGGGACGAAATGATTAGAACGTAGGGAACAATTTGCTGACCCGTCCTTTTCGAGCGAAGTTCCGGGGCTCCAGGCATCAGGGCCGTTCCGCTTTTAACGAGAGCAGCCAGCACTAGTCGCTGTAAACGGAATGCGTGATTGAGCCCTGTAGTTAACGTGAAGTTCGAATAAGTTAGGCGTGTAGACAAAGTCGCCAAAGTGACTTCCATAATCGCATTCCTTTTGTAGAAATTCAAAATCCAAATGTCATCGTTTCAGATTTGTTGGAAACGGATTCAATTTCACCACCTTATCGGAGGAATTCAGTTGCGGAAAAGCAACTGTCTCATCGATTGTGTCAGAAGTGACAGAAGCGATAATTGAAGGTTCGTTAGCGAATTTTCGGTCAGTACCATACTCACAAACGTAATGCATCTTTTAGGAGAGAACAACAGAGCATTCCCCCCAATAACGAGGTCGTACTTGACGGATGTGGCCAAGAAAATACAAGAGAAGTTTGATTATCCACGTGCTGTTGGGTTTCTTGATGGAAGACATATCGCTATAAAGGTAGTTCTTGCATAGTAAGTGGCATTTATGATTTAACCGACGGGAACATCCTTCAAAAAAAAAACTTCTCTTCAATGAAGAGCTTTTTAAAAACCATTTAGCAGTTGCGGATCGGTAATCTGTAAGGCATTCATTGATTCGGCGGTCGTTGGTCCCAACACTCTACTCCTATTAAGCACCGGGGTGGTCTAATATAGAAAAGGAGTCCTACAGAGGTGTTACTTATCCACCTACTCTTCCTCCCCCTCTTCTTGCTTCCC